TCCTTCCTTCTTTAAAAATCTTACTTTGTAGTTTGTTCCCTCAGTTATTCAGGGACTTCTGAATTCAGAAAATTGAGATAAATCATGTTCTTTTTCCTGTGTATCAAAATCAAGTTTCAAGTAGTTTGGGTCTGGATTATTATTCCACAACCTAACTCTTTTGATAGAAGTTGTTCAAGTCAATCTGGAAGGTAAATACCACAAGGAAATATTCCATCAGGGTTACATCTAATGGACACCATTCATTATTCAAATGAATATAAGTAATCAGAAGTGTGATGTTAATTTGATAATTCTGGGATTTCTATTTAAATGCAAAGAATAAAAAAGTATTAATCACGTAAGATACAATTTAGATATGCTACTCACACAGTTGAAATTCTGTAATGAAAGGTCAAAAATAAACCTTACAAGTATCTTCCAGGTTCTGAAATCTAATATCTTTTCCATTGTAATAGTTTGTTATTGTAAAATTGTGATAATAATCACTTTACCTCTGCATCGTTACCCACTAAGTAGCTTACAGTGAGTATATTTGATGTAAAATTTTACAGTCATGAGTTATTGAAATATTTTAAATCCTTTTTTTTTCAGTTCTTAAAGGTAGGAAATATTCCCCCCTCCCCCAAATACGATCAAGATTTTTCGTACTACACCTGTTTCTCGTGTATGCACCTCCATGTTTACTTTATCTTTGTTCCTTTAATGAACAGGCTAACATGCACAGCAAACAGAAAAGTGTCTATCAACAGACTCAAGCACTTCTGTGCAAAAATCTTCTTAAGAAATGGAGGGTGAAAAGAGAGAGCTTCTTGGTATGTTTGAAAGTTTTCCTCTTTCTGCAGTTGACTTCATTGTATTTCGTTGCCTGATGATTCTCCTATTTTATATTTTAAGTAACAGACTGGATTTATTGATTTCAAGGTTGTCTCTAGTTGTACTTGTTGAATTGCGAGACTCACAGCAGTCCTGAAAAAACAATGTAAAACTGTAAAGACAAAGTATTTACTCATTTATTTTAAAAAAATGAGATTAAGTGAAAATTTTAATTATATGATAAACTGTAACAACTATTAAAGCTGCTATAATTTGTATGTAATACATTTAGAGTCAAGAAAGAATAAAAATAATGCCTAGAAGAAATCAAAGAATTTTAATGTTAGGGATTTATGTTCAAGGCCATGAATGATCTACACAAAGATTTCCAAGAATGAGAACCAAGTAACACCACTGATTGTCAGTTTGAATTAAGTAGGTGAGCTATCTACAGGCAACAGCCCCAAGTCACAGTGACTTCACCAAGCAAAGGTGTACTTTTCACTCTCTTCACAGCTTAAATAAGGTTGGCAGTAAAAGTGGAGCAGGTTGGGTAGATGAAGGAATCTTCTCCACACAGTTATTCAGGGACCCTGACGTCTTCATCTAGGGATCCTGCCCTCTCCTTGGGTCTCAGAGACCTTCCCTGGATCCTGTGTATCCAGTCAGAAGATTAGGAGTAGAGGAACCTAGACAGGGAGAATGTGGAAGGTTGTGTTTCATGAGCCAGGCCTAGAATTGGTCTGTATCACATTTCTGCCCGCATTCCATTGGCCAGAACTCAATCACTTGGTCCCACTTAATTTCAGAGGCTGGGAATATCATTTCAGAGGCTGGGAATATCGTCTAGCCTTTTTCCAAGCAGGAAAAGATTACTGATATTGGTGAAGCACCAGATGGTCCCTCCTCCTCAGTTCCTTTTTCATTTTCTTTGATTTTCAACACAAGGAAATGACAACTGATAAGAATATTACTACTGGCCACCATGAACTTTATCTGGGATCATCTGTGCCTCATAGAGTTTAGAATCAGATGCCCACACATACAGACCCTGTCATGCTGTTAGTTTATGGGATGGCCTCTACATTGGTTCATGATTTAATGAAAAGGTATAGTTCTAATATTGGAAAATGATATCTGTGGCAGCTATCTCAGTATGTGTCTTTCATCGGGTTCCTTTTGTTCTGGAGGAGAGCAAACAGGAGCCAACACGATGGAAAAATTGGAATTTGTCTTTAGTTCTTTGGTGTCAAGTGAGCTCTTTATGGGAATATAATCTGCATTTGTTCTTTTCCCCCCTTCTGTGTTATAGGAATGGGCGTTCCCAATACTTCTAGGACTGTTTATGGGCTTATTTTCCTATGTAACGTACAATAGCCAGTTTCCTGAAATGCCTCCTCAGGACCTGGGAAGGGTAGATAAATTTAATAACTCGAATATAGTTGTTGTGTATACACCGATCTCTAATATAACCATGCAGATCATGAATAAAACGGCATTTGCTCCCTTTTTGAAAGGTACGTGTACTAATGACAAAAGAATCACTGATATTGTTTTATTTTTTGGTAAAATGTGTATATGTTTAACTTAAAGTTACAGTGACCCATTATGTTAATTATTTAGGTATTACAGTAGCATATAAGTCTAGTTAGTTTTTTCCTTTCTCTAACAACAATTAACCGATTAAACCCTTTTCGATGGGGGTTGAATTTAGAGAGGCCTGCATTTCTCTTGGAATTTAACTAAAACAATAGATTTATAATTCCAGGTTTGCAGAATAGTGTCTAGGAAGAATATGCCATTCGTGGATGTGGGTGTTTTTAACACAGGAATGCAATGATTAAGATGTATAACTCAGGGAAAATAAACACCTAAATAAAAGAAAGTAGGTCATGGTTATTAGACAATCATTTCAAAACATTGATAAGTAAGCATGGATAATCTAAAGATAATTCGTGCTTGGTGTAATTTGTAAACAGCTTTAAAGGCCTTCATTCTAAATGAGATCACTATATAACTGAGATAACCACAGTGTGTAATTTCCCTCATGGGTGAGCTAGGTACCATCTGGCTACCTGCTTTTTAACCCTCAAATTTTAACAGGTAAAATTGCTCAAAGTCAGATACAGAGTCACTTTGTGCTCTTGGTTCCTACATAAGGCAAAGATCATAGGATATTTCTTTGCTTCAGTAACCCTGGTTTCTTAGGCATACCAATTATCCTTTCTTATGCATACTTCTCCTGGCATAATCTTTTAGGTACCTAAAACTTGCCTTGAGGCTTATCATTATTAAGAGAAAACACTTAGTTCTCATGCATGTCTCCTGATTCTAGAATCTAAAACATCAAAATAAAAATGTTCCCCTTGCTTTTTGGGGTGTTTTATTTAAATGTGGAAAAGATTTTATCTTAATTCTAATGAAAAATATAGGATAAGCCCTGCTGGACATGGCTCAGCAATTGAGCATCGACCTAGGATCCAGGAGATCAAGGTTTGATTCCCGGTCAGGGCACATGCCTGGGTTGCGGGCTCAATCCCTAGTCGGGGGTGTGCAGGAGGCAGCCGATCAATGACTCTCATCATTGATGTTTCTATTTCTCTCTCTCTCTCTCCCTTCCTTTCTGAAATCAATAAAAATATATTTTAAAAATAGATATATAGCATGACACAGTTGGATATCACATTCTGTTTCAGTGAAATTCTAACAGTCTTTTACTTTGTCATTCACAGGAACAAAAGTCATTGGAGTACCAAATCAAAATGCCATGGACAAAATACTTGTGGATTACATCATTGTACAGGCAGTGGGAATCGTCTTTAATGACGCTTTCTTTTATAAATTAAAATTTCTTCAGGGATTTGACGTTCCATTTTTGACAGAACATCATCTTTCAGGTGATTTTTCATAGATAGTATCCTTATGGCGCTTTTCATGTTTTTAACATAAGGAACAGGTTGAGATGGTCAACAGAGATGCTTTCAATGGCGCATGAGAACATTCAAAAGCATATTTTATTGCTAAATTTCTTCCAAGGTCAATCATATATATCCCACTAGAGGATGACACACAAAAGATCATAGAGGCATCCAACATATGTCTGTAGTGAGCTCACAGGTGTACGCTGCAAGGGATACAGAGGGTGACCAAGAGTGATAGGTCCCAGTCTAGCAGTACAGACATATATTGGGCAGATATATTAATGATATGTGCAAGGGAAGGTCCTTGAAGGGGCTTAGACCAGGGGTTCCTAATATGCTTGGCATTAGAGAAGTCCTATCTGGGGGAGTGATGTTTTAACAAACATTAGAAGAAATAGCACATGTGGGGTGCTAGGGGCACTGTGTTAAGTTAGATAGAAAAAAGGCACGTGTGAAGGCCCTGAGGTGGAGGACATCTGCTAATGTGTTTGGAAGATGAGCAGCATAACTGAACAGAGAACACAAGGAGCATGACGGGCCAGCGGGGCCGAAGTTACTCAAGGGCTAGAGCCCGTGGCTTCCTTTAATCCTAGGGCAATGGAGAGCAACCCAGGTACTTTAATCAGGGCAGAGGCATGATGAGAGTCCCACGCCTAAGGTAACAGTCTATATATAGCCTTCAGGATGGATTGCAGAGGAGTCAGAGAAAATGCTATAAAATAGTGAGCTGATGGTGGCGTAGCCCAGAGTGGAGGCAGCTTAGAGGGACGTGAAGAGAGCTGAGGACCCCTTAGGAAGCAAAATCGAAGTGACTAGTAGAACTGTCTCTTCCCCATTCCTCCACTGATGGTCTACTCTGTTTTGCGTTTTTTTGTTGGCCTTAAACATGGAAGTGAATGAAACACAGAGCCTGCTAGCATGAGTCGTTACAGTCAGGTGGTGATGAAGCAACAAAGTAAACTAAAGCAGGGATAAAAGATAAGTGACTGAAAGAGTTATTTTAAATATGTTGTTTTACAGTAGCGGGGAAAGACCTCTAGCATGAGTTTACTTTTGAGAAGAGAGCAGGATGGAGGGAGTGAGCCATGGATTCCTCTGGAGGGAGGGCATCTGAGCACAAAAGAAGTTCTAGCCCTGGAGTGCATTTGACGTTTTCAGGCACAGCAAGGAGTCCAGTAGGGATGGAACTTTCATTTTAAAAAAAAAAAATTATGTCCTAAGCCTCCCTGTGCATGCTGTGGCCTCCATGAACCAACTTGCCTCGTTGAGAATTTCCATTTGCTCCTTTTGTTCTGTGTGGTTAAAGGTTCTGACTGGCTATTTTCTCTTGGCTATTTTCTCTTGGCTATTTTCTCTAGACTATTTTCTCTTGGATCCTTGTTTCTTACCCTCCCAGTGCCTCCATCCCATAACATTAATTCCACTCTTCTTTTGCTTTACAGCGCATTGCTGGGCTATAGAAAATGGGTCAAGATGTTCACTGGCCAAATACTGGTACTCAGGATTTGTGGCTTTACAAACCGCCATTAATGCTGCTATTATAGAAGTAAGAAATGTTCTAATAAATAATGTAGACTCATGCCAGAAGCATCAAGATTTTGATGAAAGGTGGTCTATACTCAGTTTCCACACGGTTGTATAACGAAGCAGGTATACAAATGGTGAAATGGGATCTAGGCAAAGGAACACATTGCTTTTTTTTTTATTAATCTTTAAAATTTCCAGTAGTTATAGAATGAAAAGAACTTGCAAAAGCAATGTCCAGGGAGGTCTGTGTGCTCTTCACCCAGTTTCTCCTCATGCTGATATCTTACATTACCATGGGACAGTAGTAAAACAGGGAAATTGACATTGGTACAATCCCCATAGCTTCTTGATTTCACCAGTTTCTGGACCTGAATGATCTTGTTTGTTTAAACCCTTTTTTAGATCACGACAGGTCACTCTGTGATGGACGAGTTGATGTCAGTCACTGCTGTAAACATGAAGACATTACCTTTTATTTCTAAAGGCATGCTTCAAAATGAGATGTTTACCTTCTTCTTACTGATTTACTTCTCCTCGTTTATATATTTTGCATCATTCAACATTACAAAAGAGAGAAAAAAGTATAAGGATTTGATGAAAGTGATGGGTCTACAAGATTCAGCATTCTGGTGAGTGACTGATTCAGACGGTACAAGTGAGTAAGAGGAAGGAAGGAGCAGTGAAAAGAAGTATCACTGTCTCTGAGGGTCACGATTTAAACCCGATACATTGGCTACTTTTTCTTTTGACTTTTTGATTTAGTCTTGGTTACATTTTGCCAAACAAAACAGTTACTGTAATTTGCTGAGCACTTCTTCTGGGCCAGAGTATGTTAAGCTTACGCCATTATAGAGCTACCTTTAAGGTCAAAAAGAGTAAAAGAGTTGTCCAGTGTCAAATGGGTGATGACCGCCGGAGCTGGGACTGCAACCCAGGTACCCTTATGGCAACTCTCTGGCTAGATCTGCCCACAGTAATCGTTTGATTTCTTAAGAGTTCCTTGTGTTGAAGAGAGGGTAATCCTGTAAAGCCTAGCTTGTGTTCAGGGGTTGGGTCACCAGGGATGTATTCTTTTGAGCAACTAAATATTGTATGTTATGGTTTAAAAAGATAGCCTATGTAATGTCCCCAGCACATACGGCACCCAGGCTGGCATATAGGGAGGGCTTAATAAGAGTCTTTTTTTCATATGTTGACATATTTATATCTTGCTCTCTTCCATTATAAAATTTTGAAATGCATATATGTGTACGTATCTATGTGTGTGTGCTTGTCTTAAAATGAAAACAGCCTTGGCCAGGTGGCTCAGTTGGTTGGAGCATCATTCCGTACACCAAAAGGCTGCAGGTTCAGTTCCTGGTCAGGACACATGCCCAGGCTGCGGCTCGATCCCCCATCAGGGTGCATACGGGAGGCAACTGATCAATGTTTCTCTCTCATGTCGGTGTGTGTGTGTGTGTGTGTGTGTGTGTCCCCTTTCCTTTCTCTCTAAAATCAATAAACATATTCTTGGGTGAAGATTTAAAAAAGGAAAAGAAAAGAAAAACAAATAATTGAGTACTAGAGGCAAAGACCTAGCAAAATAATAAATAGTAAGATTGGTAGATGGAAATGCAAACCATACAAGCTCTAACTGCCGAGAGGCCCAAGCAGAGAATTCTGCAATACAATCCGTTCCAAAATCTATACTGCCTAGGAAAAGAAAATAACCAATTGATTTAGCCCAAAAGAAACCTGATGTTTTTCAATATTGAAACCTAGGAGGCATTTCTGTGTATCATCCTCATATCCAGAAAATTCTATTTAGGAATGTAGAAATGTCTGGAATAGATGAGAAACTATTTATTGGACAATCTTTTGAAAGCCCCACGTTCTCTGAACCTAAAGTGCGGTCTAGGAAATTGTTAACATACTGTAGTTCCCGTATGTTTTCAGGAAGTGGATTCTGCAGAACATGGTATGCTTTTTCTAAACTGCTGATATTTCTAATGCAGGCTGACTCATTGTAAAGACAGAGAGTTTTGATTCTGATACATATGACATGTGAAACAGAAAAAGAGGAAACTGTCTTTCAATTAAATAGAAAGAAGAAGAGAGTTTTTTGTAGTGGAGCTTTGGGAAGTACAAAGGAATAGGTGGAGCCTGTGAGGGAGGAAGAGAGAGTGGACCTGTATAGAAAAGATCCTCTTTCAGTCCAGGGCATGTCTTGTGGGGCAGCATCTCTGCAGTCACCTGAAATAGGTAGGACCAAGTCAACTCCAGATTCAAATCCAAAGGTATTGGATATGTAGAGGTGGATTCATTCTCAGGATAAATACTTCTTAGTAAGCATGTAACCTAAAACTTAGCAAAATGAATATATACAGTGTCCCCCAAAAATGTATACACATTTTGAATGATTATAAAGTCATTAACATACAGTTTATTTTGAGTTCTCAGCTGTTAAAGTGTGTATATATTTCTTCGGGACACCCTATATACTACATATATATATATATCCTTAAAACTAAGAAGGAAAAAATTCTGAAGCTTTTTAGGAAGTACAGAATGTCTTTTGCAAATAAATTTTATGACTTTTTTTACTCATGTAATAACTGTGAAATGTAATCAGTATTTATTCTTTAAGTGTCATGTCTGAATTGCTCTGCTTTTGTCATGAAAGTTATCTTGAGTTCAGTAACATCTCTCCGACCCCTTGAGTTCAGTAACATCTCTCCGACCCCTTCCCCCAACTCTGCAGTGAGTTCCTTGTTCTAGATAATGTTCGCGTTTCCTGTACTTGTAATTCCCCTACCCTGTGGTTTTTCAATTCCTACCTACTGTAGTTCCTGTATGTTCTCAGGAAGTGGATTCTGCAGAATATGGTATGCTTTTTCTAAACTGCTGATATTTCTAATGCAGGCTGACTCATTGTAAAGACATGAAATTTAAAAAGAAATCTCACAGCAATATTTTTTCATAGCAACGTATCTCACTGGCCAAGAAAAACAAAAGAAAAAAATTAAACAATATCAAACTAAAATTAAAAATTAAACTATATCAAACTAAAAAGTTTTTACACAGCAAAGGAAACCATCAACAAAATGAAAAAACAACTCACTGACTGGGAGAGTATTTCACCAATAATATATCTGGTAAAGGGTTAATATCCAAAATTTATTAAGAACTTATAAAACTCAACACCAAAAAAACAAGCAATCTAATTTAAAAAATGGGCAAAGGACCCAAATAGACACTTCTCCAAAGAGGACACACAGATGGCCAAGAGATATATGAAAAGATGCTCTATGTCACTAATCAGAGAATTGCAAATTAAAACCACACTGAGATATCACCTCACACCTGTCAGAATGGCTATCATCAGTAAATCAATAAATAGCAAGTGCTGGGGAGGGTGTGGGGAAAAGGGAGCCCTCGTGCACTGCTGGTGGGGATGCAGACTGGTGCCGCCACTGTGGAAAGCAGTATGGAGTTTCCTCAAAAAATTAAAAATGGAGCTGCCTTATGACCCAGCAATTCCACTTCTGGGAATATATCCGAAGAAACCTGAAACACTGATTGGAAAGAACTTATGCCACCCCTGTGTCCATTGCAGCGTTGTTTACAATAGCCAAGATTTTGGAGCAGCCCAAGTGCCCTTTGGTAGATGAGTGGATGGATGAAAAAGCTGTGGTGCATTTATGCATTGTATTAAAAAAAAAAAAAAAGAAAAAGAAAAACTAAAATGTTTATGGGCAGGAGAACTTTGGGATATAGTCATACAATGAAATCTACAGTGGTGTATATTATTGTATATGTTGATCGGTAAAGGCAAGGTGCAGAAGAACCCATGCAAGATACTATTTATGCAATGTTCATACTCCTTATGAATCCAGAGCTGACTCCTAGCCAGCAGGCACAGCCAGGCCCGTGTAATATTAGTACTACTGTAGTTATTAACCTAGGCGGCAGGCACAAGGGCAGTCACTCTACTATTCATTAGGTATTTTGTGTTTTCAGTACCTCATAATAAAATTAAAGTAATTGCAATCACTTTTTGTCTTTAGGCTCTCCTGGGGTTTAATCTATGCTGGCTTCATCTTCATCATTTCCATATTCATTACAATTATCATAACATCTACCCAGACTGTAGTCATGACGGGCTTCATGGTCATGTTCACACTCTTTTTCTTATATGGCTTGTCCCTGGTAAGTTCACGCGACGATGACCGCTTTCTCTGCTTTACGTCTCAGCTGCATGTGGCACAAGTGGCCTCAGCAGGCAACGACAGGCTGCCTCTCTCGCGTCCGTTCTGTGTGTGCGCGCATGTAAGTCTCTATGAGTGTGAGCAAATAATGTCACCTAAATAAAGTTGGACCTTGCTTTTATATAAAGATCCAAGTTCATGAAATGATGCATCTAAAAGAAAAAAAAGTATTTTGACTCTACCTCAGACTTCCGTAGATGATTAATGAGGATGCACTTGAAGCGTGAACCCCTCACTTTGCTCCAAACTCCCCCACCACGTGGTAGCTGTACACAGTAGCGCTCTCCCTCTGGTACCCCACCTTGCAGTGACGTCTCCCGTCAGCCCTCTCTCCTTTCTCTGAACAGCAGCCTCTTTTTTTTCCTCCCTCCTTTCAGGGTGTTTTCTGCAGAAGGTATTCAGATGCTCTTGAATATGTTTTCGTTTCTTCCCATCACTTTCCAATCCTCCATTTCCACCCTTCCCCAGGCAATTCTTCCAGCTTTCCCCCACCCTTTCCTCAGCAACAAAAGCCCAACCTTTGAATAGGACAAATAGGGACCCCATTTATAAAAGGGTTGAGAGAAGGACTGAGCCTAATTGTTCCTTAATATTTTCATCACCGACTCACTCGTAAAGATGCTGTGATCCTTAATTAGCTGTGCAACCAGCGTTGCTCAGTGAACGGAATCTGCGTAACGGCTGCCTGTCTTCTCTTTCAGATACATTTAGCATTCCTGGTGAGCGTGTTAATCAAGAGGACGGCCCTCACCAACCTGGCCGTGTTTCTTCTCACCCTCCTTTTTGGGGGTGTGGGACTCTCTACATTTCACAGACAACTTCCTTTACCTTTGGAGTGGATTTTGAGTATTTTCAGCCCTTTTGCCTTCACTGCTGGAATGGCCCAGGTAAGAGAGAATAGGGCTTCTTGAAAAAGGTTACTTAATAAAATGATAATTCTTGTTACTACACTGTATTATTTTTATTTATTTAATTTAAGTATTATTATTTTTGTTTGACTCTTAGATTATCCGCCTGGATTATAATATGAATGGTGTAACTTTTCCTGACCCATCGGGAGACTCATATGTCATGATAGCAACTTTTTTCGTATTGGCTTTTGATGTTTTTTTGTACTTGGTATTGGCATTATACTTTGACAAAATCTTACCCTGTAAGTAATAGTGGATTTTTCTCTGATCTCTACAAAAGTTGATCAGATTAAATACTTCTTTTCCCCTTAAGGTTCTATAAATGTATTTTAAGAAATGATGGATAACAAATACTTCGCATCACAGGCAGAATGAGTGCTTTATTTCTACTTCGTGGCTTTAATGGTCTGGAAAAATGTTTATGTAAAAACAATCATTCTTTTCACTTTAATATAATAATACACAGTATAAATAGACAAAATGATCGTTTTAATACATATGATAATTATATTGTATTAAATAACATTACTTTTTTCAAGGATCCCTGAAAGTGTTTTCAAAGAATGATATTTAGAATTTGTATCAGAACAAGTTGAAATGGCTTAGTTCTTAGGATGATTTTGGCTTAGACAGTGTAGGGCCATGGTACAGTGGAAGTGCTTTCTAGTACAAATGTGTTCTTACAAGAATGTTGGCAGACTGTAAACTAAATACAACTAGAAAGAACCTCGGGTGTGAGGTAACCAGTGTCTTCCTCCCCTTGTTGTGGGACGACCATGTCAGAAGGGAGATATCCATCCCTTAAGAAAATCACAAAATGGAAATTAGAACATTTTCAGAATTATTCTGAAAAGTTTTCTTATATTGCTTATGTTTACAGGAGCATATTGCCCAGTTAGATTTCCTTTATCTTGCAAACAACCAAACGTTTCCCATAGGCCCAGAATTCCTTCACATACACTAGAACCAGAATGTTTTTTCCCTTGCACAGTCTTCTTATCTTTTTTTTTTTTAATGTTTCTTCCACTTTGACTAGTTAAGTTTGTTTCTGTGTATACCTGTCTTTTTTTTATCACTTCTGGTTTTTATCTTGAAGAAGTAGTAACAAATACTACTTCGTTTTCTTTAAATCTAGAAAAGGACCATATATTCATCCTGAACAAATACAGTTGCTCCATGTACTGTTAATTCATGTACCATAGAGATTTCAGTATTATGTTCAATCGTATTGCTGTGGTCAAATGATTTATTAGTTCACAAATATGTTTGCAATTAATTTTATTCCATAGTAAGGCCTTCCCCCAAAATATTTGGTTTTATTCCTTCTGAATACCCTTTTAGACCACACTGTACTCAAACCTTTGATTTATGCTTTGTTGAAAGTTCTGTTGGTTAACTTTTGTGATTACTATGTTACTTCCTTTGAATTTCCATATCTTAATTATCAAGTTTTCTTGATAATATGCTCAGTCATAAGAAGTTAGAAAAGAGTTTCTCTGTGATGCTTAAAATTCTAAGATATTCTGCACTGTTCCGAACAAGGATTCTTTTCTCACTGTTTTAATGTTACTGATCCAATATTTTATTGCCTCTTGATTAATTAGATGGAAACGAGTCCCGTTATTCTGCATTATTTTTTCTGAACTCATCGTCTCGTTTCCAACACCGAAGGACTAATAAGGTCATTGAGAAAGAGACAGATCCTGAGCATCCCTCTGACGATTATTTTGAACCAATAGCTCCAGAATTCCAAGGAAAGGAGGCCATCAGGTAATTACACTTATACTAATATAGGGTACAAGGCAGTTCCCTTTGGAACTGCAAGGTGCACTCAAGTTTGACAACCACTGATCTAAAGGTGTATGTGTGTGTGTGTGTGTGTGATATTCATGTGAAGAAATCCAGCGAACCTTTAGACAGGTGAGCCTAAATCTCAGGGTCAAGGATGAGGTCAACATTAGATAGGTGTTGAAACCATGAGGACCAATGAGATAACACATCGACTGTGTTGAGAGTGAGGTGAACGTAGAGAACACTGTGGAACACAAAGATGATGCATCGGATGAAAGAAGAGAACCTTGTAAAGAAACAGATGGTGTGTTAAATGAAAGAAGAGAACCTTATATTTATATATAGAAAAGTAGGAAGAAAACCAATAAAGTGGAGCATCCTCTTGAATGTAGACACTTTTAACAAGGAGAAAGTCATGAACAGTGACCATAACCCAGTATGTAAGGATAGAAAGGTATTTGTTGCATTTGGCGATTAGGAGGCTACTAATGATTTCGATATGCAGAGGTTCACTAGAGTCATGGGTTCAGAAGCCAGGCTGCAGTTGATTGAGGAGGAAGTGAGAAGTGAGGAAGTAGGGATGTCAATTTTACACTTTTATTTTGAGAATTTTTTCAAGATTAGGGGAGAGAGAAATTCAGTCCTATCTAAAGCAGATCCACTGGCCAAATAGGAGCTATCAGAGAAGAAAATTCAGGTGACAGAGGGCTTTGGAGATGATGGTTATAGAAAGCAGATAAATGCTCTCATCATGACGGGGGGAAAAATACCGTGTGTTCTAAGAATGAAAGGAGAAAGTGAGGATGATTACAGAGCGTTCTACTTTTCCAAGCTAGTAATTTAATCACAACTTTGTGGAGATACTTTTTCTACTTCAGGGGAAGTGATTTTCCAAAAATAAGCCGTTGTCATCCTGAGTAGAGTGGTGATGCCATCCCTTATTTCACATGAAGTGGCTGACTGCATCTGTCTAGGGTTGTTCATGATCCACACCACTTTTATTTCTGTGTTGTGTAAGTAAGCACCCCTTTTGTCATTTCAGAATCAGAAATGTTAAAAAAGAGTATAAAAAAAAGTCTGGAAAAGTGGAAGCATTGAAAGGTAAAGAAAAACATTTAATTGTTTTATTGACTTCTTGATTTCAAAACTGGGGAAAATTCAATGTTGAAAATGAGAAAATATAAATAAGCAAAACAGAAAGAAAGGAAAACAAGCGTGCAGCCTAACTCCAGCACGTGGAAAGCAGCCGTGGTTAAGAACTGCTTGTAAAATCCTTCTGGATGTTTCCTGGATCAATTAATCTACAAAAAGGGGATTGTGCAATGAAAAATGCAATTTTACTTTGTTTTGGGTTTTTTTTAGATGAATTTGCAATAAGGAATGTTTTCTTTTATTTGCACTATGAGGAAAGAATATTTAGACTTAAAATTGATAAATTTTTTTTACACTCGCCAAGAAAATCACATAGTTTACATGTGCTGGTGAGATTAACGAAAAAAAGATGACTAATACCATTGACCACGAATTCAATTTCGCAAGTCAATATCCTATGACGTAGTTTATAGTGTTGAATGAGCCAGCATATCTGATATGAAATATTCTAACAAATATAGCTTTCTCAAACAAATATTTAAGTAAGCCATAGATTTTCCTGGAAGTTGAGAGTTCTCTGTCCTTTGTGTATATATTGTGTTTATTTTCTAGCAAATGCAGCACCCCTCAACTCAGTCTTTTTTGTTTGAGATTAGGTCTTTGATAATTTAATGTACTTGTATCAGCAAGTTTATTCTCACTCCAGGTTTTTCTCATCAAACACCATGTAGATCTGTGGTTTCTTTCATTTTAGCCAAGGATATATCGAGGTATTTTTAAATTTATTATTTCAATTTCTAGAGTGCATTATGAGCTACTTTTGCACTCATCAATAACCGTGAACTTTTTTAGGTCTAACCAACTTTAATTTATGCAAGGATTTCCTCTTGTTTGGAGTGGGAATAAGATAAAATTAACTCTAATTCCAAATATTAACACTACACTTACTTCCAGTGTGCATGCATGTGCATATATGAATATGTAAATATATGTCCCTCTTATCCGTCTTTAGAAGCAGCCCTGCCCAATGCTGTCTGAGGTGTTAATATTTTATTTTAAAAACAGGCTTGTTCTTTGACATATATGAAGGTCAAATCACAGCAATTCTGGGTCAGAGTGAAGCTGGCAAATCTTCGTTGCTAAACATCCTTAATGGGTTGTCTGTTCCAACAGAAGGTGAGCAAAATGATTTTCTCAAAGGCAAGATGTCTGATATTAGAAGGAGGTCATATGTAGCTTTTCTCACTTCAGGGAACTGTATGATTTTGAATGTATTTCCCCAATTTTTATGAAAAGTAACATATTTATTTCATTGATACATTATATTCCAGGGAGAATACATAATAATCAGTAGTTGTTAATAAATCGTGAAGTCATCATTTTGGATGTTTGTGTGCATATGCAAATATTTTCATGAATCATATCTCCAAAGCATCATTAAACATATTATCTTGCCAATGTTAAATTATTTTTCACTTCTTTTCTTAGGGTCTGTTACCATCTACAATAAAAATCTCTCTGAAATGCAAGACTTGGAGGAAATCAGAAAGATAACTGGCATTTGTCCTCAATTCAGTGTTCAATTCGACATACTTACTGTGAAGGAAAACCTCAGGCTGTTTGCAAAAATCAAAGGGATTCAGCCACAGGAAGTGGATCAAGAGGTAGATGGGCGTGCTTGGATTAATTAAATTGCTAACCACTTATCAAGTTAAATCATGTCCACAAACTTCCCCTCAGTGATTTACCTGTCCTGTTATGAATAGAACGTAGGCTTTGAGGCTCCATAAAAAATACCCAATGCTGTAATGAACAGTTAAAATTACATACTATGAATCATCCTGGATTTTAAGCTTGTATATTCTTTCCTATAGGTACAAAGAATTTTATTGGAGTTGGACATACAAAATATTCAGGATAACCTTGCTCAACATTTAAGTGAAGGACAGAAAAGAAAGCTGACCTTTGGGATTGCCATTTTAGGAGATCCTCAGGTAAGTACCATTATGCATGGGGAGGAATGCCGAAGGGATATCAATAAAAAGTAGCAGAGCTTTTCGTTGTAATCAATCAAGAGAGAATCTGCTATGTTTAACTATGAATAGAAGCATATTGGACATCCGTGGTTGGATAGTTATTATTTGTTCGTTTTCTATTGTTATGCATGCCATCATCAGGAAATCAACATGGGAGAGAGGCATATTTCATATACCCCCTCCTTTGTAGGTTTTGCTATTAGATGAACCAACTGCTGGATTGGATTCCTTTTCAAGGCAGCGAGTGTGGAGCTTCCTCAAGGAGCACAAAGCAGACCGAGTGATCCTCTTGAGTACCAATTTCATGGACGAGGCTGACATCCTGGCTGGTGATTGCTGATTTTATCTCAGTATTACAATAACGGATTTGGGAAATAAGTATTCCCAGGGCCAGAGCCCTGCTCCCATTGCCTTGGTGTGCCTGTATTACTTACCAGTCTGGGGGAAAACAGGAGCCTATTCCCACTGTGGAATTCCTTGTCAACTGTACGGTTGCTAGATATGACCACTGATAAAAAATTTATGATTTTTTTTCAGATCAGCTCTTAATTAATGTAAACATCCAAATATTCCTTAATATATATTTGGTTGAAAATACCCACTAAATGCTTTAGCATCCCATTCAGAGTAGAAAATGCACCCATGTAATTTCTGTTTTTTTCTTTTTTTAAGTTTTGGAGGACATGAAAATGAATTGGAACTCATAAGCTCATTTTAAATGTATCCATTTTAATGCGTATTTCAAAATTTTAAATGGACAGTAGCTATAGCAGTGCCCATAGAACACTTCTCCTTTAGAAGTTTGAGTGTTGGCTCCTCATTGGTATTTCCCAGACATGGAAGAAATGACGTCCATCACCCTTTTTCTCTTGTTTCTGTTTACTCAGATCGAAAAGTGATCATGTCCAAAGGGAGACTGAAGTGTGCCGGCTCTTCTGCCTTTTTGAAAAGAAAATGGGGTCTTGGATATCACTTAAGGTAAGGAATTTAGGGATAAATTGAATATATATGTCTGTATTTTCAATACTGGTATATCAAAAAGGTAGACAGTTATAAGAGAGATTGGGCCTTATGCTTAGCTCTGCCAAGCTGTATTGATCAGTGTTTCCCAAATGTTTTTCCTGCATCTCATTGCAATAAGCAAAATTTCAAAATTATCAGCCCAGGCTGACAGATCATAGCAGGGCTACTTCATGGACCACTTTCCACCCTCCATTTCCTCAGCTGATCAATGCAATCCTGTGACATGTTTCCTTCTTTCATAGGGTACAAAATCAAATAATTTTTGAAGCTAGTATCAAAAGTGGGAGTAAATCGGGTGGCAGAGAGTAAAGAGGACTGTGTCTAACAAGAAAGTGTGTCCAGGCAAAAAGAATGAACACGAAAACACTATGGATAAATGAAACATGACTATTGGCCAGATTTTCCCATTAGCCACTAATTCCTGATAGCTACATGGTCTGGTGCAATAGCGATTTTCCCTAAGAAGTCTCTTCTGTCTAATGTCCTACTTCCCTCTGTTTGTCTTCCTATTTGATATATATCAAGTTTCAATTCCATCATGTATTTGTTTGTATATTTGTGGTGGTTCTGAGTTTATACACCTTCTCTGTATAGATCAGATTTTTTTAAACCAATGGCATTATTATTATGATTATTACTCATTCATTTTGTTTGTTCCCTAAAGCCAAGTAAAGATAGTACTCAAAGGCTGGATATTCAGTACAAAGCCCTTCTTTTGTGATAGTGCTGGAGGAAACACAAATGAATTGTCTTTTCTTTTAAACATTAGTTTGTACAGAAATGAAATATGTGATCCAGAAAAAATAACATCCTTCATTAAACATCACATCCCGGATGCCAAATTAAAAACAGAAAGCAAAGAAAAGCTTGTGTATACTTTGCCTGTGGAAAGGACAGATAAATTTCCAGGTACCTTAAATATGATTACATTGGAATGAAGTTTGGGAACAAGTGCTTACATTCTTATTACAACCTTTATTGTTTAATGGACTTGGGTTTTGTTTTAGGTTGGTTTCCTAAGAAGCTAAACTAGAGATGAGGATCTTTAGTGCGATTTGTTTGGTAATTGATGCCCAGAGGCAACAGTAGAGAAGAAAGGAGAAAGAAAGAGGGAGGGAGGGAGGAAAGAGAAAGAGAGAGAGAAGACTCATTTTGGAAAGTTCTTGAGATGTCCAAAGGGGATGGAATTTAGAACACAAGTCAAGAGGTAGCCTTTGGTGGGAGCAGCTACAGGCCTTCTCCCTGTACAGAAGGAAGACCCGGAATATGGGTAGAAGTACACACCGATTGGTGGTGTAGAGGTGGTATTTCCTCAGAGACATTTGCAGGAAGTTCATGAGCTGAGAGAGAGTGCAGACAGTCTGAAGACAGAAGGAAAGGCCTGACGTGTTCCTTTCAGAGGGGGAGAGCATTCCAGTGAAATTTTGGTTTTGCTCACATTTTATGAACAATATTCAGCGTCATCTTTTAAACATGTTAATTCACTAAGTTTAGTTATCAATGTGGGCTCTCAAATGTATCTGTTTCTGTCTGTTACCTTAGACCTTTTTAGTGATCTTGATAAGGTTTCTGACCAGGGAATGATGAGTTACGACATCTCTGTGTCAACCCTGAGTGACGTCTTCATGCAAGTGGAAGGAATATCAGCTATCGACCAAGGTACATTCATGTGTATAATTCATATAAAATCAATTTCCAAAAGATCATTTATCAGCTTAGCATATATAGTGTCTTATCCCTGATTCACACTAATTGGACTCTGCTCTTTGGGAAGGGCAGTCATTGCTTCCTGTCAGCATTCCTAGAACTGAACACAGACCCCTCTTGGAATATATCAGATTTGGGTTTGGAACCATTGCTTCCTTTTGGACAATTTTCTTCCATCCCCAGGTGTTCACTGCTTCTTGGATACTTAGAAAGGATGTGAAAGGCTCTCGATCAGGGTCATGAAGTCTGAACAGATATTTTGTATAAAAAGTGCTCTTAGCTTGTTCATGTATAAAAATTCCACTAAGGCCTCAATGGGGGAGAGGTTTAGGATCATCTCTTGTGGATTATAATGGGTGGTAATACTAAGAGCTGTCATTTATGGAGGATCTGTTGCAGACATTTTGATCAATGGGTAGCCATATTGCATTGCTTTCCTGCCAATAACCATTCCAACAGGTGGCATGAGCACCATTTGACACATGAGAAAAATCAGACCTAAGAGCGGTTAAGTGACTTGCCCTAAATTACACCACTTGTAAGTCATATATTTAGAAATCAGGTACAGGTCTTGTAGTTTCAGAGCTGGTTGGTAGTCTTTCATCTAGACTTGTAAATTACTGATAGCTTAATAGTAGACATATAGGCATCAATGATTGGCTTCTTCTATGGAGAAGACTTCTTGAGGTTTCTCAGAATATTGTTACATATAGGGCTTTCTGTGCCTTTTAAAAGACTGGGCATGATGAGACCACCCTTGACTGAAGTCTTCTTTTGGCATCAATTCAGAATATTTTATCACTGAGTTTATTGAATGTGGACATGATAAACGTAATTTATTGCTTATATTGTTTGTTTTTTAACCACAAACATCCTAAAACATCTATTTTTTATTTTTTTGTTAATCATCACCAGAGGATATTGTTTCCATTGATTTTTAGAGAGAGTTGGGGGGAGAAGGGGAGAGAGAGGGAAACATCAGTGTGAGAGAGACACATTGATTGGTTGCCTCCACACCCCAACCAGGGCCAGTCAGCAACTCAGGTATGTGCCCTTGACTGGGAATCAAACCTGCAAACCTTCTGTGCATGGGCCACCGATGCTCTCACCACTGAGCAATACCGGCCAGGGCCATCCTAAAACAATTTTTCTCTAAAAGGAGAAAACTGTGGTGATCCAAGAATGTCATTAATAATTTGTGTATGTGTGTGTGCACCTGCTCGGATGCGTGCATGTTTATTTTGAACAAGCAGAGATGTGGAGAGACACAGAAAGCCTACGTGAGATGGAGCCAGCTCCTTCTGTCCCCAGAACTCAGAAGACCATGAGTGACTTGGAACTCTGGAGAATGCAGATCTGCGCAATAGCGCGGCTTCGTTTCTTAAAGTTAAAACGTGGAAAGAGAGAGCTTTTGACCCTGTGAGTATCAAAGTACCGTGGTTTTGTTGGATAGTGAGTTTCAAGGAGGGATTAAACCACAATGACATTTTGTACTGTGGGGCATGCTAAGGTGTGACTTTCAGAATGATAGCACCTATCATTATGGCTGGCATGGAGTAAAGTTGATATTCTACAAATATTTGTGAAATGTCTGACAGAATAGATAAAATTGCAAAGATTCATACGGTAATGTTTCTTTCCTGGTAGACTGTTGGTATTTGGAATTGCATTGTTCCCAATGATTGTGGAAGTGATATTTGATGTTGTACTAGTTGAAAAGAATGATTGGGAATTTAAACCTGAATTGTATTTCCTCTCTCCTGGACAACTTTCCCAAGACCCTCTCACCAGCCTATTGATCATCAATAACACAGGTGAACAGAAAAATGAAATTTAAATCAAGCAATAGGTTATTTTTATGTAGAGGGGGAAAAGCAGACCATAAGAGAAGAAAATGTGTATCTAGACTTTACGAATAGGAAATGATTTCTGAGGAACTGTGCATATTTGTTCTAAGTTTAGAGGTGCTGGGGAGGAGGGGACAAGATAGAAGGATCCTGGGACTCTATGTAACCTGGCAGAGCAGAGCCGCCTATCTGCGTGGTGACCCTAAGCTATTATGTGAGGGAGAAATGTCTGTATTGATTGATCCACTCAATTCTGAGATCTCCTTGTTACAGTTGTTGGCTCCTGTGTGCGCTAGGCTGTGGGTTTTTCTGCTCTGACAGTGGCACTCTTTTCATTGCCCACTTTCTAACAAAAATATATTTATGTAATATACATGTATGTAATACATGTGTAAATACATAAAATACATTCATGCTTTAAAATACATTCGTACATATACCTATACATATTTACTTTTCTGTTATTTGGAGAATAAAGGAGCGAGGGGAGTGCTATTACTGGGCATTTTAGACTAGCCAATCTGAAGTACTCCTCATACAATTATTGTATTTTCAATACAATAATTTAAGACAAATTATTGAGCTCAAATGTATTTTTTTAGCCAAGAGTCATAGAATAGAATTATATTGTCTTAATGGTCACATGTTAACTTGCATCAAATAGGATTATAAAGCTAACACATCACAGGGTGAGATTTGATAAATAGAAGATGCTAGATTGGGCTGACTTTCATGGGCCAGTATTATTACTGTGATGCCCAAAGAGACATACCTTCATGTACCATAAATATAAATTGTGTATGTGGTTTATTTTTAAAAATTGACATATATGTTCTTGCTTTATATGGCCTTCTGTTACTGACTTAACACTAGAATCAAATATTGAAGATTTTGTACAGTCACTGAAGCATCAAAATATACTCTTGGAAGTAGATGACTTTATAAACAGAAAGAGCCCTGATGACCTGTCATACCTGTCATACAATGGAGCTATCGAAGTCTCTGGGAAACAAAAGGTACCTTTGCCTCTTGCTGCTTGTTTTCGCTTTTCATGAAAAAAAAAAAAAATCAATAAAGCACTACATTTTAACTGTCATAAAAACTGTGGAAAGTCAACCCTGCTAATATACAGCAACTTGACTCAAAAATGTTTTGGGTCATTATTAAATAATCTGTGAAGTTTAAATAGGTTTTTGTAAAAAACAATTTCTATCTTAACTTTTGAGTTAGATGATTTTTTTACATTCCAAAGTGGCTGAATAAAATTGCACAGCTCAGACCAATAAGATATTGGAGCTTCTCGTTACCAGCCAAGATATTTATGAATTTAAGGGTTCCTATTCAATGGCGAACTACCCAAACAGTGTTTTCATATACTTAGGAAGTATATTAAATACTATCATAGAGCTCTTTCTAGGACTACTGAACATACATTCTAATCATAAGTAAACTCAGTCTTACTTGCATTCCAGTGAAAAACAGGGTCAATTGCATGAAGCTTCCTCTTTATTTCTTGCCACAAGGGGAAAAAACAAAAACCTCTGAAGAGGCATCATTGAACTCAGTTCTACCTAAGCCAAGTACACCACACAAAATGTAATCTCAGTGTGGGAAACCGCATTGCCCAGCCACTGCTTTACTTGTTACTTATCCAGCATATTTATTACGTGAACTCTTGGTAATGTTGAAAGAACATTGAGCCTCCTGATGAATGAACGTTTTCATAACCCCAAAGAGCATAAACATTGTCCTAGAAAATGTGAAAATGCTTCTTTGGCAGGGTAGCCGTGAATATTTTATGAGCCCCATGCTTATTTCCTATCCGGAAAAACAGGGCTCCTTTGCTTGCTCACTGCAAACTCACAGTGTTTCCTGGTCAGGGCCACTTTTGAATTCCATCAGCTGAAATGGACTTCTCAGCAAAACAAGGACCACGTGCTCTAAAACTGGTAATACTAATAAAATCTCATATTGCTGACTGTGCTAAGGGCCTAATATACATGACCCCATTTAAACTGTAGGACAACCCGTTCATTGTATACCCTTTCACAGGTGGGGATGCTGCTGCTCAGAGAAGTCAGTTAACTGGAAGATAGTCACACAGCTAGAATAGGACACTGTTTAGGGTGTCATATATAAAACTCTTTTTCTTTGTTCTTTCATTATTTAGAATTAATATTTTTCATTTGCCTTTATTTGAAGGATTATAGGTTCTCAGTTGTATGCAATACTAAGAAACTGCACTGTTTTCCTATCCTGATGAATATTATCAGCAACGGGCTGCTTCGAATGTTTAACCATACACAGCAGATTCGAACTGCGAGAAGCTCATTTCCTTTAGTAAGTACTTTTGGATTGACTCGTTCTGAACAGTTAGGAGTTTGACAAGCTACCTATGCATTCCCTCTTTAGCTTTTAAATATTTATAATTGATAGTTAACCAACCCTAAAAAATTAATTTTGTCCTTACATTTTAAACAGATTACATCTCACAGAATATGATTTTCTTTCCTCATTATGATCAGAGAATTCTCATGGGGGAATACTTTTTAATATGATGTCACAGTCTCCCAGAAAATTTTGTGAAAAGATGCTTACTTGATTGCAGGAGTGTATTAGAGAGAGAGTAAGACTGGGGAGGGGGGGGGAGGGTGTACACACACACTGAATTGGAAACCAAGAACACTTGTAACCCTGTTTTAAAATCTTATAAATCTAATATAATTTGTTGGTGGACCCTTCATTGACTAGATGGGTAGTCGATTAACTGATTTGAAGGAGAATTTGCCAGTTCTTGGGCTAGATGCACTCTGATGAATCCCTTCACCCCCTCCCCCACAGTGGCTCTGCGTTGCAGGGGTAGGGGTGGTGTCTGGTACACACAGGCTGCATTCTCAGGACTCTTTGTCAGCTGGCTATCGTGCGGCCTGACAGCTGCAAGCAGTGTTTTCAGCCAGGACAGCAGAAAGATCCTTCACCCCGGCCTTTAGTCACATTACTCCCTTCCTTTGTCCCTCTACCCCAGGCATGACAGCAGCTTCTCTCATCATCATCGTTGGCTTCGCTGCTCTTTCTACCCATGTAACAATTGCATGATTAATTTCAGTCCTTTTTAAGTACTGAAGGTGGTTATGGTTTTCTACTTAGAGCCCGTTTGGTACCCAAAAGGGATCTCTCAACTCTGACTCCAACTGGTTCTAACCAGTACATTGGAGGTGCAATAAACAGGGTTAGAAATGGAAGCTTCAAAAAGCGGAGCCCATTTCATGACAAAAGGGTCAAGTGTTAGTGGTTCTAGGGTACACACAGGAGCAGATGGATGCAATATCCTTGAGAGGTCAGGGGGTGACGTACACCTCTGTGAGCTGAAGCCACCAGTGTCAGTGAAGGCAGGAAAAGATCAAGCAGAGGTGTCTAAAGGGAAGTCTCCAGAAAGTGGAAACAGCTGGTAGTACAAAGAGATAGATGTTCCCCATTCTTGGTCCTTTAGTTTCCTCTTGTCATTACCTGTTTGCTCAAGATGAAAATGAACTGAAGCCCCAGTGGCACAGTCCTTCCTTCATTCAGCCAGTTGTATGAAGATAGTAATACATTTCCCCAACTGGTAAAAAATGTACAGATACAGCCTCTGGAGCTTTAACTAAAGTTTGAGAATAGTGGAATTCTTTTGAGGCAAGCTGCTGCACAAGAGGCAGTCCTGTACCCTACCTGAGCATAAGCCCAGCCACAGGCAGACACGGACTTGGGGGTAGTGATGTAAAGTGTATCTCCTTGAGGACAGGCTGGGAAGCATCAAGTGGTCTTTTTAGGTCTGTGCTTCACAACACACCCACCCAGTTGCTGTGTTTTCGCATATCCATCACTAGGTTTCCTGAGAAGGACCTGCCGCTCAAGCCTCAATCCTCTGTTTCTCTAGGACCCTAATTCCTGAATAATTTTTGTATTGTGGTAAAAAACACATACCATGAAATTTACCATCTTACCCATTTTTAAGTGTATAATTCAGTGTAGTTCAGTGTAGAGTTCAGTATATCCACATTGTTGGGAAACAAGGTCTCCAGAACTTTTTTTTATCTTGTAGACCTAAAACTCTATACCCATTAAATAAGAACTCTCATTACTCCCTTCCCCTGGGTCCTGGCAGTCACCATTGTACTTTGTGTTTTTATAAAATATGATACTTTTGATACCTCAGATAGGGCCAATTGCGTAGTATTTGTCTTTTGGCAACCGGCTTTCCCCTAGAATAATGTCCTCACAGTTCATCCATGCTGTAGCATGTGCCCCGATTTTCTTCCTTTCTAAGGCTGAGTAATGTTCTATTGTATGTATAGACCACATTTGTTTTATCCATTTACCTGTCCATGGACATTTGGGCTGCTTCTTCCTCTTGGGCATTGTGAATAGTGCTGCTGTGGAATGTGTGGGCAGATATATCCTTGAGATCCTGCTTTTAATTCTTTTTCATATATACCCTGAAGTGGATCCTGCATTATTTTTTTATCCCCCCATTTTTTTCCTCATGTTAAATTATCAGAAATCACACCCCCCACCACCACCACGAATAGATGCTGATGAACTACTAGATGTACACGTTTAATTTGATTTTTCAAATTGTTTCGAACAGCATATTCTTTGTGGTTATTAGCCTTTGTCTAACTTTTTTAAATATTCACTAGCTTAAAGTGCCTTTTATATTTGCAGAATTTTGTGCTATTCTGGACTGGGCTTCCAGAAGGCTCCATGTTCATATATTTCGTCACCTGCAACATTTTTCCTTACTTCGCCATGAGCAGTGTCAGCGATTACAGAGTAAGAAAAGGGGAGGGGGGGGAGAAAAGAGACTTCAGGGACCTCAATAATTGTGTTTAAAATGCTATGTGTTCAAAATGTTATCCTGTGAGCAAAACATGTAAGCATATATTGAATGTAGATGATGTAGTTAAACATCATTTCTATTGAGTCAGAAATTTACTTCCAAACACACAAAGTACTTTTTATTTCAACATTAAAGGGGGAAACACTGCCATTTTGCAGGGATTCAAGTGAATCAAAACCTTCAAAGGGGAATTATAAAACTTTCGACTATATGATTTCTTAGCTACAGAGTAGAGATCCTTGATGTTGACATTGAAGACCAGATTTAAGATTTGAATCCCCTTTCTAACGGTGGGAAATACAGGTTTTTGTTATATTTGTATTTGGTTATGTCCATTTTCTAAGTCACACAGTTCAGTGAGGTTTAGATAAGTCATCCTTCACCATCCTGAGCCAGGAACTCCTCCCCCAAAGCATATTTGGACAATGGAGAATTTATTGTCCTTCAGGTCGAAAAATAATACTCCTTTTGAAGGAGAGTCATTCCTTGATCATGATAAAATCTGCTTTTCTATTTATTATGCATAAGTTAAGGTGGTGATGTGAATCAAACCTATAAAATGAAATGATACTCATTTTCAGAAATGGTCACCTTAATGGGATTTGCTAAATTCCATCCAACAGTTTATGCATAATTAAAATTATTAGAAGATTTGCATATTTTTAAAATTAAATTTAGCGGGGTGACAGTGGTTAATAGGAACATGTAGGTTTCAGGTGTGGGTTTCTTTGTTACAAGATCTGTATATCGCACCGTGTGCCCACCACCCAAAGTCATACCTTCTCCCCATCACCATATAGAAGGTTTAAAAGTATTTGATTAGATTGTATTTAACATATCTTACAATGTGTTCATTTTGGCTTTGGATTTTAATTGGACCTATATACGTCCTGTGTTTTTTATCAGAAGAGAACCAAGTCCCAGCTATGGATTTCGGGCCTCTACCCTTCGGCCTACTGGTGCGGGCAGGCCCTGGTGGACAGTAACTTCTTTGCTATCATTCTGTTTGCAACCCATTTAATTTTCTACTTGAGAAACATAACGGACCTTTATATCACAAGTGAAATGGTGTTCACATTGGTAAGTAGCACATTGCATAGAGATTGTCTTGTAAGGTAATTCACGTAAATTTTAACATTGGATATTTTATATAATCAAGACAGTTTCATTTTTATTTTGTCCTAAACTAAAACAAGAAAGCACTCAAAGTACACATTCAATAAAATATCTCAAAGTGTTTATAATTTAAATGTCCCTTCAGTTAATCATTTTTGACTTTGATATCATTTATGTTATCTTTAGGTTGTAGTGACGCTTGGTTATGCAGCCTCTCTTGTCCTTTTGATGTATGTGATATCGTTTATTTTTCGCAAGAAGAGAAAAAATAGTTGTTTTTGGTCATTTTGCTTCTATATTGTAAGTATATACACAAACATACAAATAGAGTTCTTTTCTTAAACTTTAGATGTAACCCTAAACAGCCACTTTTGCCCTGAGCCAAGGGAAAATGAATACCTTAAAATTACACCAGAGGGGAGAGAACATGTGGCTGATTCCATAATGTCCCGAGGAATTCACGCGCCACCCTTTGACTCGAGTTTATGGAGTACCCTGCAGGAAACCTGAAGTTCAGGATGCTACTCTTGAGTTTATGAATCCTTCAGAGCACAGGGCTTCCTGGCAACACTAGGCCAAAAATCTGCTTGATACAGTTTGACAGTACAATCCATTTCTGCAGTCTCTAAGAAGTTGTCTTTTAACCTCAGATGCTGCTAATTTCAGAGACTGAAGATGTTTTTATACCTATGGCAGGGCACTTATTAGTAAATATGAATGAACAATCACTGAAAGTAACCTAGAGTCTAGTGGACTCCTGTACCCCCAGGGGTGTGGCCCCTGGGTATCTTAGGCCCCAGTCTAATGAGGGAGCACCCCGAGCGTCAGTCCGTATTTCAGCCCAGTAGGGGAGGTGTAGTTGCACTCATACACTGGGCCATGGGATATTTCCTTGGATGCCTTTTGGCATCTTCTCTTGTCCCAGTGGATGGGAAGGGAAAAGAATGAGCTGCAGAAGCAGAAACTTGGAGACCCAGTGGAATAAGCGGAGTCAGCTAAGTGGACTGACTGCAGGACTCCTTGTTATAAAAAATAAGGAGCTAGGGGGGGAAAATAGAGAAGTGTGATGTCATGGAAACTAAAAGAGAGAAATACGTAAACATGGACAATTGCTCAATACCTTTGCAGAGAGACTGGTGGTTGTAAAATGAGAGAAGTCTTTTGGATTTGCTGTCTAAAATGCTTAACTGTGCTCTTATTGAACACTTGATTATAATTTTGGTGATTTCCCCTCCACTTTTTAAAATATATCTTTATTGATTTCAGAGAGAGGAAAGGAGAGGGAGAGAGATAGAAACATCAGTGATGAGAGAGTCATTGATTGGCTGCCTCCTGCACGCCCCGCACTGGGGATCGAGCCTGCAACCCGGGCATGTGCCCCAACCAGGAATTGAACCCCGATTGCCTGGATCCTAGGTCGACGCTCAACCACTGAGCCATGCCCGGCTGGGCCCCCCAATTGTTTTTTGATACGTAGATTACATATCCCCCAAAAACTTTAAATCCACTTAGTAGCAATACAGCATTCCTTTTTCTCTAATTCCTCAAGACGTGTAGTTTTCTGGCATGAAGACTGAGCGATCACACCTGCCCAGGTTTGAATTCCAGCTTTGTCATGCACTAACTGTGCCATCTTGAGGATGTTACTTAATGTCTCTAGACCCTAGATTTCCCATATATAAAGGGAGGAATAATAAGAATAACTACATTACAGAGTTGTTGTGAGGATTAAAGTTAAAAAAAATGCATGCTAAATTATTAATGCCTGGCATTTGTATAATTAATATTCAATGAATTGAGTAGTTACCATTTTTTCTGGTTTTATTATAATTAATACATTAATAAGACCCAGCAAAGGTTCAATGAAGTACTGAAAACATACTTGTTGACTGATAAACTGATCCTTCAAACAGAAAAATAAGAAATCATTTTTGTCTCCACCCCCAACATTTACCAGTAATCTAAAAAAAATGAGTTCCTTGAGATCTAAATGTACAATCTCCAAAAAATCATTTATTTGAAATTAATGGAGCAGGTGTGACAATTAGAAAGCTTCAGTCTAGGGGAGAGGTGATACAGGTATTTTTTTTTTATAAGCTCGTATGTATTCTCATTAACAAAAGCTTATCCTTTCCCTCTGCAAGGGGTCGTCTGCATGTAGGAAGATTTTGATACATAGAATAAGAACATCTACATCTTAAATGTTTTTCTCAGATGTCAGTGGGCTGAGTATGTCTGACATGCACTATATTTCAACTTGCCTTGTAGACCTCAGCCATCTTGTTAGAGAATATGATATATGAGATAAAGCCATCTACCTTGGTTTTGGGCATGATATTTTTTCCCTCATTCACCTTGGTTGGATTTCTATCTTTTTGGGCAGAGGTAAGAAATATTATCAACCATATCACTGATTTTGAAATGCTTTGCCTAAATCTATAAAGACACAAAGTAGGCTACTGGTTCTCTGGGGTTTGGGGGGTGGAAGGGATGGGGGGTGACAGCAAATGCATATGATGGAAATGTCCTTAAGTTAAATTGTGGTATTGTTGTCACAACTCCGTACATTTACTAAAAATCCTTGAATTGCACACTTAAAAACAGGTGTATTTTATAAAGGCATGAAGATTTAACTTCAATAAAGCTGTTTAAAAAAAGCTTTGTCCTATGCACTTTGCAAAACATCCACTTATTCAAAACTTAATGCCAGGTTGAGAAATGTCGCCTAGATTCATGGGTATTCATCATATCCATTGTGAGGAATACACTCATGGACAGTATCATTCACTCACTCAAAATGTGTATTAAACATTATTCTATGTCAGGCACTGTGCCAGTCACTGGGGACATCTGATGGACAAGATAGCACAGTCCTACCTTTCACAGAGCTCAGTGGGGACAAAGGCCAACCTCAAGGTAGTCAACACACGGGACCTAAAGGTAGCAAAGGAGAAGGGGAGTATTTCAAGCACAGCCGATGTGCTCCAGAGAGGCAGAGACCCTTCTCAGGGGAGGCAGCATTTAAACACAGTCCTGAAAAATGGGTGTTAATTAATTGGAGGGAGAGCGAGGCAGGAGGTAAGCATGTTACACAGAGGGAAGCAAAGGCATGGAAGCAGGAAAGCCCAGAAAGTGCTAAATACATTCTAATGGAAAGAAACATACAAGGAGATGAGCAGAAGAGCTCAGGCAGGAGCATGCTTTGGGTGGCCCTGCATCATGCCGAAGGAACAGCTTTAAACAAAGCAGAGAGAGCTCCCCTCAGTGTGCGTCCTCAGGAACCTTGAAAAGCCTTCCATTTGTAGGAACACTTTTCCACTGGCTGAGCAGTTGGCCTGGGATTCTCAATTGAAAAATGTATTCCTTTGCTTAAAGCATCTTTCTCCTAAAGTAGAAGTAGAGCTTCGAAGTGAAATACATTGATCTGGACCTGTCACACATTATTTTGGAGCAATGAGTTACTTTTTGAATGCATTGAAGAAAGAAGAACACAGCAGGACTAATTATTGTGGTGAAAACAGGCACCATTGCCTGGGGGGGGGGTAGTTGGGGAGGGACCCTGAGAAGGCTACTGATGGCTCTTTAGGACAAATATTTCTGACCCCTAGAATTTATCCTGATGAAGGCACCTCTCTCTGTTATGCTTTCAGTAGACTTTCAGCAGACATTAAACCAAAATATTAAAGGAAAAAAAGAGCAATTGGAAAAGACAAACACAGGTTACCTGCTCACTGAGAGACATTCAGAGTTGAGTAGAGGTCCCCACAAGGCTCTGCAGGGAATTGCTTGTCACCAGTGCATCTAGGAGACCCAGGCTTAAGGAAAATATTCAATATGTGAAATTCCTTATCATTTACATGTAAAGTGTAAAGCTGATGAATTTTCATTTTGCCATTTTTTCCCCCTTTGCAGAGACGCTTCAAGCACCAAATAAAATATCACGACCCATATTTTGACCTGAGTGGAATTGATGTTCTAATATGCCTAATAGTAAGAAGTACCACTTTTTATTTATTCATTGGGGGTAGTTATCATCTATAACGATTCCCTGATCTTGCCTGAAGTGTGCCAACTTTGAAGGTGTTTTTAATATAGTCTCAGAATAAGCAATTACATCTCAGCATGATTCTAAATCCCAGAGTTACTTTTTATATGCATGAATGGATGATATAAATCCAGAATTCCATACGAAATTAATCTTTCATGTTTATACTGTGTACTGCCTCCTCCAAATTTGAGAGAGCTTGTCAAAAATACAGATAAAATGTAACTTGTCTTTTGAATTAGAGATTTGAAAAAAGTAAAAGTTGAGTAATAAAAATGAAAAGAAGAAAGTGATTATGTTGATATATTTAGACTGAAGATAGCCACTCTCATTGACTACAATGTGTCAGTACTTGTCTAGGCATAGAAGCAAATACAGACAGAAGTCCCTACCCCCATGGAGTTTATTTTTTGGTGAAAGGAGACAGATGATAAATGAGATAGATAATATATACCATGTCAGATGGGTGGTCAGGAAAGGCCTGGCTGAGAAATAGAGGTCTGAGGGAGACAAGAAACAAGCTGTAGAGATAGCTTGGGGAAGGAGATTCCAGTAAGGAGGGCAACAGTCAGCCTGGCTTATTTCAGGGTCAGGGTCAGGCAGGAGGCCAGTCTGGTTGTGGCAGAGTGACCAAAGAGGAGAGTGGTATGAAAGAAGGTCACAGAAGTCCTAGGGTCACGTGTGGGTGGAGAGAAGAGGTTACACAGTGTTCTAGGTCACTACAAAGACCTTGACTTTGTGTTGAGTAGCTGAGGGGTCACTGGAGGGTTTTAGGCAAAATGATATAATAGGACATGTTTTAAAACAGTAGCTGTAGTGGCTGTGTTGAGAATAGACGTTTGGAGCAAGGGGAGTAAAGGGAGACCAGGTAGAAAGGTGTTGTAATGTTATTATATTTATTTATTTTTATTGATTTGAGAGGGAGACAGAGGGAGACAGAGAAAGATGAGAGAGAAACATCACTCAGTTGCCTCCTATACTCACCCTAACTGGGGTTCAAACCGGCACCCTGGGCATGTTCCCTGACCAGGAGTTGAACCCACTACCTTCTGTAGCACAGGATGACACTCCAACCAGTTGAGCCACACCAGCCAGGGCTCTTTTTTTTCCTTTTTTTTTTAAGAATGAGAAATAATAATGACCTGGGCCTGGGTGGTGATAGCACAGACACACGGGTGGAAAGTAGTTGGGTTCTGGATCATTTTGAAGGTAAAACAGAACTTTCTGGTAGACAGGGTGTGGGCTGTGAGAAGAAAGGAGTCAGGTTCCACTACGCTAGATTGTCGCTGTATACCCGGACGTCTTCCCTGATTTGTAAGATGATTCACATCTCTTTTGCCTGAAGACAAAAGGCCACCAGCTTAATTCAAATGTTTAAATAATATTTGTGAACGAAATGCCTAAATAGAAACTGTTTCTTTGCTCCTAGCCTTACTTTCAGGCTCTGCTGTTCATTCTCATTCTAAGATGCCTGGAAAGAAAGTGTGGCCAGACAGTCATGCGAAAGGATCCTGTTTTCAGGTTGGGTAAAGCTTCATGTCATACTTACTGTCGTGTTGTAATATCCCTAGATCGTGGCTGCACTGTCGGCCTGTCAATACAGATTTATCTTTGCAGTGTAGACAGCACACTGATTGCTGGCTGACTACGAGGAAACAGGGCTCCCAGCAGAGTTCTGACACTAACCAGCAGAGGGAAGCTTTCAGTCTCTCAGAAACCTAATGAGTCCTCAAGTACGCCATCCTGCTGTCCAAGAGGGTTACCCATCCCTGAACAGAAGAGATGGGATGGAATGGGCTGAGCAGCATAGTTCTGAGTTCTTCACAAGGGAGGGGGACTCCAAAAAGGGTGAACAGTAAGAGATATGAAGGCAAGTGTTGGGCTGATTAGATGGGCCCAGAGTCAACAGAGAAAATGTAGGTGACTTCATTTTTGTTTTTAAATCCTCACCTGAGGATATTTTTTCCATTGCTTTCAGAGAGAGTGGAAAGGAGAAGAGGGGAGGGGAGAGAGGGACATCGATGTGAGAGAGACACATCAATTGGTTGCCTCCTGCTCAATGCCTCAGGGCCAGGGATCGAGCCTGCAACCGAGGTGCATGCTCTTGGCTGGAATTGAACCTGGGACCCTTCAGTTGTGGGCCAACACTAACCACTGAGCAAAACCAGCCAGGGCAGGTCACCTCGTTTTTAAAGAAGCAACAGTATATACTTGCCAGCAAATTGGAAAGGGTCAACGATGCTAAGGGAAGAGTGGGAGCCACACTGAGAAAGGGATTCTGGTGGCTACCAGGGCGGGGATTTTAGGTAAAAGCAGAAGCAGTGTTTGCAGGGCCATCGTCACCACCAGTTTATTGAAAGAAAGGGACAATAGTCAGATTACTGGGAGGCTGATTTGTGACCCATCTTGGACAACTAGAAAAATCACAGGGCGTATACATTTCATTTCATCCACAGAATTTCTCCCCAAAGAAGAGCAACTCGGCCAAATCCAGAGGAAGCTGTCGATGAAGATGAAGATGTTCGAGCAGAAAGAAGGAGAACAGCAGCCGCCCTGACCACTTCTGGCTTAGAGGAGGTAGAATGCCGGGGGCAGAGTGCATGCTAAGGGAACTGTCCAATAACTAGCAAGAACAGAGGTTGTTGATATGCTGGTTTTCATTTTGAAAGTTGAGTATTTGGTGGATTTTCATAATTCTTTCTATTTTTTAAAGAATAGTTAATCGGTTTTGGG